TGTCTGTTTAAAGGCCTTCTGACTGCATGACACTGGCTCTTTTCTTCCCTGGCTGTTAAAGCTAGAGCTACACAAAGGAGACGCAGTATGTGACCACTGTTTAGGAGGTGGCATGAATTATACTTGTGCCATAAAAATGCTGCAAAGGTCTGCATTGCTCACATTTTTTTTATGGCGAGTTAAAAACGTCTTTGTCTCCACTGTTAACCGGGTTTAAACCCGTTTAATTTTTTATTATTTACCACGTTTAAGATCTTCTTGGAAACACTGATTTTTATTTGGTTTATTTTGTTTGGTGCACTATAGCTTTGCAGATAAATCATCCTCTTTGACATCTGTTCAGAAGCACAAATCCTGTAATTTATAAAGCTCCCTCGGCCCTTTTGCTTGCAGTGCAGATCTGTCAGTTTGTGATGACCTGGAGTGGTGACTCCTGTGCTGGTCAGTGGTGCAGAGAAGCAGAAATATTACATTGTCTTCGGGGTGCTGAAGCATTGGCTCTGACTGCTGTAAGTTTGCGTCAGATTTAACGCACTTTCTTGTGTTTTCCTGGATAGTTTCCCCCTCAGAGGAGAGTTGGGTCTTTAAGCCTGTGGTTATTGTTACAGTCAAGCAGTTGCATTTATGCATTTCCTCTAATAGTATCAGTCATGCATCGGCCAACCAGATGCTGCAGGCTGTAAATCTCTGCTCGGTGCCTCAGGGAAAGGTGCTGATGAGAGCGATCTGTGTTGTCAAAGCTGCTGAAGGGAATTTGAAGGAGACGGTTGTTCCCCATTCGGTTGTGTGGGTGGGTGAGCTGCAGCCCACGGCTACTCAAAGGGAGCCGTGTAAAATCCGACACACTGAAACCCGCAAACGCCAACTTTGACAGCCAGTTGTGACAAAAACCAATTTAGGTGGCACGATAAATCGTGTTGGAGCTGTGAGGAGGCTGCCTCCGGTGGTTTAACCTTGTTTCTTTTATTTTTAGGTCCTTCTTGTGGTCAGGGTGGACTTGAAGATTTGCTCTCTTTCAAGGATCACAGATGTAAAGGAAAACAGTGCTGGCTGTGAGCAGAGTGAAGGGATTTTAAAACTAAATCAACGTAAAAGCAACAGCCTAGAAAAAAAAAAATTTCTGTATGGATTTTTTCTTTGTTCACTTATTTGTCAAACTAAAATGTTTCAGAGGAGTTTATTGATTGATTGACTTTATTGATCTCACAGCGGAGAAATTTACTCGATACATTCGCTCAATAATCAAAAAGAAAAAGAAGGAAAAGATGCATGGGGTACATATAGTATATACAGTGTGGCCACATATATACATCTATATCTCTATATAGATGTGTATATATATATATATATATATATATATATATATATATATATATATATATATATATATATATATATATTTATTATTTTATAATTTGGTCTTCCAGCTTAAACAAAAAACAGGAATTTAAGGAAATTGGAATACTTTTAAGAATTCCTCATTTACTTCTCAGTTTTTGCAGAAGAAAAAATAAGGAAATTACAATCACATCAAATAAATGACAAATTGTACATTAATAATAGGGCTGAAACAATTAATTGGATTAATCAATTATTGAAAAAATCATCAAATAATTTAGTAATCGGTGAATCGTTACTGGAGTATAGGGGCTCTGAAACATGCCTTTAGCTGACAGAGTGACCCACTTACAGCAGTGATTATACCGGGATTTTATATTTTTAATTTAAAACAATAAAAAATGTTTTATCTGTTAACATGTTCTATCCAGAACTCCTCAAGTGGAAAAGTTTTAGTTTCATCTGGTTTATTTCACAAAAAGTCTTCTTCAAGGAACCTTTGGCTATCGGATTATTAATCGATTAGTCGAAAAAATAATCGACAGATTAATTGATTAGCAAAATAATCATTGGTTGCAGTGTTAATTCAGAACGATAAGCTTGTCTTACTTTCTTGATTGAGATATTCGATCATAAATAACATGATCCACTGATGCTTTGCCCTGCAGGATGTCAAATTCGAACAAAAGAAGCTAAAGGCAATTATCTGAATATGTAGAAAACCGTTAGAAATGAGGTTAAATATCGGTTCCTATGTGTTACATTTCAGAACAAATGGAAGCAAATTTGCCGGTTATAGATTGGTGGTTCAATATGAAGTATTTTATTTTGGATTAACACCTATATGATTACAAATTTGTTATGTACTTATTAAAAAATGATTCTGATTTGTAACACATTTAACTGCTGATATAAATGCTAACTTCTACAATATTCAAATCTCAGACTGTCTATTGTACCCACTGCAATATATATTATATAATCCTAATAATAGTATTTCTGTCATGATAAAACTAGGCCAAGGCAAGAACATGTCACTATATTTCTTTCGCTAAATTAGCTTTCCATGATAAAGCTTCAGTCATCAGGCTGAAGAGCAAAAGGAAGCTATGCATGAAAAAAGCTGAACAAAGAGACTTAACAGTCAGAGTGAGCCTGAAAAGAGCAGAAATGTTTATGGCTGAGATCTAACCATTGGATTTTCTTTGGATTAGGTCATCCCCACCAATCACTATATAATCCTTTGTCTCCTCACCAGATTCATAACAGTTTTGTGATTTTTTTTTTCCTATATGTGTTTTTATTCTGAAGCTTTCACCTCATATAATATTTTAGTGTATTGCAATATTATAGTGTATAACAATATTCAAATTGTTCAAACAATACTGCTGTCGGGTTTCAGTATTCATAGAAAGAGCAAAATCCATTCCATGCTATATTTTTGAGAGACTATTCACTGTAAAACACTCTATTACTTATGTACATTTAGAAAATCTAGATCCCCGCCTTTACATAATGGATTTAAAAAAGGTTTACCCATATCTAGTATGTTCTATAACAAAGGTTTTGAATAACAGAGTAAAATCTCTCCAGTCCTTCAAACCTTCCTGTTATCCTCTGAAATCCCTGTTCTCTCTTGCAGCTTGTTTGATCCAAATACGTTTCAACATGTGGTACAAAACACATTCTAATGTGTTTGCTTTTTATCTCTTTATACTACTCTAACATTCAAAAGAAAAAAACAAGTAAAAACATTTCTGATTATTTAAATTGTTAACTTAAACTCTCCTTCACGCCACACAGTTAGCAACCTGCTAAAGCTAAGGCGTGGTGCGTTCAAGTCCATGCCTTAGCCAGAAACGGTGTGTTTCTGTTCAGTTCTAGGCCCAATGTTCATCTTTTTTGTTTTGTCTATGATGCTGTAATATTATACACTCTGAATAAGAGAGTTACCTGGTAAAATGTCTTAAGGCAGGTAAATGCAACAGGACTAACATTTCTAATAGGGGTGGAACGGTTCACAAAATCCACGGTTCGGTTCGGTTCACAGTTTCGTGGTCACGGTTTTCGGTTCGGTATATGCTAATTGTTAGCCTGACATGTTGGTCGTGTTGCTGTTAGCATAAACAAAACGTGTTTCACACTGTTGCACTTTTATCCACAAACGCCATCGTAGGTCACTCTGAATGCAAAGTGGTCCCATACAGCAGACCTATAAAGTGCTGCTGGCGCGTCTTCCAACTCCTGTTCTTTCCCACTCGCCATACCCACACAATTCTCCACAACAACTGATTTTTTTCTGCTACACCCGGCTACGCTGCTTCGCTTCTTCTTCTTCTTGTTTACTACTGGTGGTTGGCTTTGGTCGCAGTACCGCCACCTTCTGCTCTGGAGTGTAATCGCTTCACCTATGAGAAAAAGGAGCAGCGCATGAACCGAACGCAACACGCGCGAATCGAACCGAGACAGTCGAACCGAACGGTTCGGTTTTCATAAACCGTTCCATCTCTAATTTCTAGGCAGGAGATGCCAGATATACACCAATATCTGCCATAATAGCTGCCATTAACACCTTTATTTATAGATGTTCAAGATCGGCCTGTTTTTCAGTTTAATCCTGTTTCTCTGACTGACTGGCTGGATGTGCTCTCTTCATCCTCTGGCATGGGAGCTGGCTCGGAGCTCGTCTGCCTGGCTGTGTGTTTCCTGGACGGGGCCGCCTTTTACAGCTGCTTTTTGTATCTCTGCTTCTGTCTCCTTGAACCCCAGTCAGCCTCAGCAGATGGCCGCTCACACTGAGCCTGGTTCTGCTGGAGGTTTCTTCCTGTTCAAAGGGAGTTTTCCTCTCCACTGTCGCTACAAGCATGCTTAGTGTGAGGGATTGCATTCGAGTCAATGAGTCGATGCAATCAACTGGTTTTCCTTAGATAGAAAACTTTGAATCAATTTGACTGTATATGTTAGGTGAACTGTTGAGATGACGTGTTGTGAATTGGCTCTATATAAATAAACTAAATTGAATATCTTTTTTTGAGAAATAAAAATGGAGTTTATGTGGCTGTGCAAAGCTTTGATTTAATATTAAAAGGCTGAGACGCCTTACTTGACCAAAAAAATCGTTTCTGCTTCTACAGACTTGGGCCTGATCCTGGTTTTGTTGATCATGGCTCTGGTCACAGATGCCAGCTAACAATGTTAAGATTAAAGTAGGAAGCTACTTAGGGATTATTTTATTGTCTGTGGGCTGCTTAATCCGGCACAAACACAGTGGGAGAGGATCCAGGGTGAACGGTATGAATTCCCAGGGTAACCTTAACCTGCCCTTGAAGTGGCTTGTTGGCAGAAATAGTGTATCATGTTTAGCCCTGAGACAAACAAAGAAACAAGCACACAGGGCACATTTTCCCCCTCTGATGCAGGATTGAGAGAAAAAGCTTCACTGTGTTTACTGACTCCTATGCTCATGGCTACAAGCGGCCCTAATTGTCATGCAGCTCATTAAAGCATGTTAGGCTGATGGCTTTGAAGCTGGACACATTGAAAAACTCGGGAGCCGTTCGCTCGGGATGAATGCAGCTGGGGAAACATTGGTCGCTGCTTTTTATTTTTGTATTCTGTGACGATTGTCTTGTTTGTGTTTGGCTTGTGGTTTCATTTTTTTGTCACAGCTTGAATCCAAACGGCGGCACGTAGCTCACACCATGTGGCATTTCGTTACACAACTGCACAATTACTGCAGTCTAAAGGGAGGGAATATCATCACTTACAGAGAAAAGGAGAATTATTTCGCCATAGCACAATGGAGGCACCAACAGATGAAACTGTCTGTGATGTTGAGTTTGAGGAATATTAAATCCAGTCTGTACTGTGAACTGAATGAACCCTTCATCTGAATTCTATCAGGTTTTACTGTTGATGATTTTGTCTTAGAGCTAAATTTGGCCTCTCCTTTAATTTTAAAGTCAGAAAAGAGAGAATCTATCCTCTTTTATGTCAGACACAAGCAGGGGCGGATTTAGGAAATTGGGGGTCCTAGGCAAAAATAGGCAGGGGCCCTTCTGAATTGAGAAGATGACACATAAAACACCCATTATACAGAAATTTTAATAGAATAGACATCCATTATCTGTTCTAGGTTTTGTCCCTCTCTTCTTGTCCCTTTTCTTGTTGTTTTCCTCTCTGTTTTGTACTCAGCTGACTTTTCATTCTGTCTCTAAAGAAGTGGTTCCCAAAGATTTTCTTCTGGGACCCCCTTTGGATTACAATAAAATTTCCACACCCCCCCGCCCAAAAAAAAAAAAAAAAAAAGAATCAACTGGGCACACACATCGTTCAACCAGATATAATAAATCTATACACATATTTTGTTTTCAAACTCCACTGAAGTTTATTTCACACTTAAGGAACACTTTTGTGTAACTGTATCTTTTTAATAGTTCTATACTGTAGATCAGAAGAGGATTCTTTGTTGTCTGTGTTATTTTAAACATATTTCTTTTTTTTTATTTGTAACCATATTTAAGTTTGCTATAATCTATACATTAAAAAAGCCTCTGTGCAAAATGGAGTGAAAACATTGAACAGCTCCCTGAGAGTTTTTTCTTTGTACTTTAATCCTCCCATCTTTTCAGTGGCTGTAGTGAGCCTGCTTTTTGCTGTAGATCTTCTCAAATCTGGGTTGCAGTGTCACAACTGTCCATTATGCTCAGTCAAGCAGGCGCTGTTTTTTGTTTTTTTTTTCTTCATTCATCCATACCACTTCCCGCGCCCCCCCTGCAATGGCATGGGGGGCGCGCCCCACACTTTGGGAACACCTGCTCTAAAGGAATGAAAGATTTTTTTCCCCAAAAGTCTTAATTCTGAGATTAAAGTCAGAATTCTGACTTTAATCTCAGAATTCGGACTTTAATCTCAGAATTCGGACTTTAATCTCAGAATTCTGACTTTTTTCCTATCTTAAACTGAAATAAAATTTAAAAATCAGTTAACTTTTTTTTTTTTTTTTTCAGTGGCCCTAATCCTCTTCCGTAAATGTCCACACTTCCTGACACAGTGCAATAAAAGCAAACAAAACAAAAAAAAACACAGGAGCGCAAGGTCACATCTTTCAAAAGGTGCCTTTTAAGACTGAAGAAAAAAGAAAAAAAAGTTTGAAGGTAATAAATATATATATATATATTTTAAAATTAAACCAACCCTCTAATTTTTATCTTGACTGTAACATTTAGCAGGATTTTTATTTTACATTTTATTCAGGGTTCCCTCTATAATTTAAATTCAAAAGAAAGCATAAAAGTTTACGAGGAAACTCCTTTGGGAGCTTGTCTGCACAGGTTTGTAGAAAATCATCTCCTCCCCTCCTGTTTCTGCCAGCCGCTGTCGACAGCTGGACCCAACTAACAGCTGCTGCCCTTCCCCCAAAACCTAAAGCCTTAAAAACAACAACAGAAAGCCAGTCAGTTTTCTAGCCGTGCAACTTGCGCTTTAACTGTGCTGTAAAACTATGTGTGGTGTCTCTGTAATAACATCCCTGGGTGTCAATTAATCTTATTGATGATAATAGAAACTTTAAAGAATTAAATATGAACGATTTTAAAGATTTTCCACTCTTAGCATTTGATAGAAGCCTAATTAGCTTTGGTTGACCAAAGCTGACATTTTTATGACAAACATGCCACCCACATAGACAACAGAGCTGCATGTTGCTGCTGCTACCAATTATAATGTGCAGACACGCCTATTAGGGCCTATAATGGAAGTTATTGGCGTGTCTGTCTGCAATATATATAGTTTTTTTTATTTATGTTACCCTTCCTTATGATTACAATGTTGTATTTATTTTGCCTATCCAGTTATGAACAATTATTTATAATTAAAGATTGATTGTTTGATTTGAATTGTTGATCAGATAGAGTCAGGGTTTCCACCAGGAATTTTTTTCCCCAACTGTGGTGGAGCCCATATCTGGATTAAAACTATAATAATTTGCTGTTATATAAAAAAAAATAGTGGAAATGCAACATATGTAACCTGACTTTATTAAATAATATATAACTTTTTATACCTTGCCTGAATCCACACTGTATATACCTAATTATACCAAAAAGTCAGTAATTAGAGGCACATGCATTATGAGGAGAATGAGCGATTCAAGCTGTGTGTTAATCAGGTAATTATTTTAGCGCAACAGTTTCAGAGTAAAAAAAAAATACTTTTATTATGAACTATTTCGATTATGTTTACATCCTGCTTTGTAATCCAGGGCAGAATAATCGATAGCTTTGAGCATGCGTTATATATTAACCATGAGGAAATGAAGCAGGTCTCCTCAGGACGAGGCAGTTGTCTGTGCCTGGAAGACGGCACTTAGGGAAGCAGGGAAAGCGATTGCTGTGGAAACATAGAGAAGAAAGAGAAAGTTGCTAAAGGGGTCTGAGAAGTCCCTAAATAAAGCGACAAATTTGCTAAGTTGGCAACACTGGGCTGCAATATTCAGTTTTCCTCCACTTACATCAGTTGGACTCATACAGTAGCCAATTTCACAGCAAAACAGACAGGAACTGGTGGTGTTTTGTTTTTCAAAATAAAGTCATTTTTTTTAGATACAATGTCCTGTGTGGCAATGTGGCAATAAGAATAATTGTCTTGATGCCAAAAAGAGACAGATTTTACTATCACAAGTGTAGCAGTATGGTAATTGCCATATTGTTCCACTTGTTTCATGCATATAAACTGCTTTATTATAATTATGCAGGGAGTTTTACAGTTTATATAGACACTGCAATGTAAATAGAACAGAATAAGAAAAACAGAAGAAAAAAAAGAGAAAAGATGAAAGAAAGAGGAGATAGAAAGATATTCATGTTTTAAAAGGAATTATCTATATTTTCAAACCTAACTTTAAAGGAAATAAATTAAAATTAACCTTTAGGACTGTCAAAGAAAAGCATAACATCTAAACATTTCATGATGCTTAAATTTATTATAAAAATTGATTATTGTTAGAATCTCTGTAAATATACAGTATGCTGTATCATTCGCTTTATATTGCTTTAATATATTTTTTTATTTATTCTATTGCGTCACAATCCGTTCCATGTAACGGAGAACCTGGTGAGGCTATTTCAGTGTCCTGTCAGGGTCCTTTCAGAAAACAGTTTCAAGTCAAATCCACTATTAAATATTAAAATCAATCTAATCGATTCATCTTTAGAGTAACATTCCCAAATAGTCCTAGTTGTATGCAATGAATGCATTGAAGTTCTACCTCCTATACAACCTGGTTAAAATTATGTTTTTAAGGAGGCCCAGAGGATTTGATGCATCATTTCCATGTTCTGCAAAATTTGTAAATAAATGTAAAATGTGTATTTTGCCTCCATATTTCACCTAGAAAACGGATTATTCTGAAAGGTTGAATTTTTTAAAAATAATTAAAAAAATCTAGGATCCTGTAACCTGGCTGTACAATCATCCTTTCTTGACCTTAATCGTCAAACATTTCTGCTTAGATATTTTTTGACATGGGGACTTTATTTGAAGGTATTCTGATAGGAAATGGATGTGGGGGATGAAACAGAAGTCGACAGGCTGCATTGAGGACCGATGTTTATTTGTGGCCCGCTTTACCCATGCCTCACCCCTGAACCCTAATCTCTTACTTCCTAAAAGCTCCTTTTGATTTAGTGTCCCAAACTTGTTTACATTTTGTTTAAATTTCATGATCAGATTAATATAAATCAGCTAGAATAGATAGTTTTATATGGATGTAAAATCAAATGTTGTCATGATGCTGGTTAGCATGCAGAAGACTTAATACAGAATAGAACCACTGTAATGTGGGCGGGGTTATCAAATGCCCCTAAACCAACCATAGAATAAGATGTTTTTCTTCCGGCTGTGAGGTTAAAAAATAAGAAGATAAGAATGAATCCCAAAGGGTTTTTGTTTTAAGTGTTCTAAGCACTTTAAAAGAGGTTCTGACTGCGGTTAAGGTGTTATTGCCTTACATGATTGGACTACAAGCATAATGTGGCAACAGACCAGTCATTTTAAAAGGATTATGCGTCTTACTGCTAAAGGTGGAAATGTTGGGACAGATGGGACAGAAGTGTGCATGCAATTTATTGCCCCATATTTTAACTCTTTGAAGATCAGGCCCTAAGTCTCGTTGGTCTATAAGGTTTATTTTTAGACCAGTTTATATTTTGCTTTATTGTATTTTGTATTTATAACTCTACACTTTCCAAACAAAGTAAAAAAAAACAATCCACTGGACTTTGTTTCCAAGTTGAAGACGTTTCGCTTCCCATCCAGGAAGCTTTTTCAATTCAAATGGCAGGGATAGCGTTGAGTTTGAGGTTTTATACTAGTATTGCACCGATACCAGTATCGGACGGGGCCCCGATACTGCCCTAAAATGGTCGTATCGGTATCGGCGAGTACCAACAAATAGGGCACCGATACCATTTTGAGAACCATAAGTTTATTCAACTATTGTCACCCACTCCTGGTAGGCAATAAAAAGTTCTACTGGATTCACTTTGTATTAGATTTTTTCCTGCTTCACAAAGGTAGGCTGCAGATTGACAAAGCCATGATGGCAATTACTTTACATTATTATGGTATCGGTATCGGGTATCGGTATCAGGGCCAAAAAATGGCATCGGCGCAACACTATTTTATACACTCAAACTCAACACTATTCCTGACATTTGAATTACTATGATCTGGATGACTGAGAATCTTCACCAGCATAACTGTAGGCTTTAATTACAAAATGATAACACCTGTTTATCGAAAACTGTTTTTTCTTTTTTTAAGGTGGCGTTTATTCCTTTCAGTTGCCCTGTCCCTTATCCAGATCATATTATTTGTAGGTTTTAAGCATCCAGCATCAGAATTTTTTTTTAAGTTCAAGATATTGCTATTTTTATAGCTTTTTATTTTTAGGAGAACTGTCAAACAAAAGCCTAGTGAACTTACTAACATTTGAAATGCTTTACTGAAATATTTTATGTCATTTAAAACCTCTTAAATGCTTTTTTAGTCAATTAAAATAGAGCAGGTCCCTGCGGCTCCTGGGGGCTTCGGCCTGGGATTTTGGGCCCCTCGGCGCTTGCCTCAGTGCTCCTTTTGATAAACTTTACATGCACAAGTGCACTTTCACAAACAACTACAGGTGCTTGGCTCCAGGTATTTAGAGATTCACTTCCATACAGAAAGCTCATATTCTTATCTTCAGCTACCACAGTATACATGTCAGATTAAATAATACCACTTATACTTCAGCGATAGTATCTGTTGGTTTTGCTGTTCGTATTTTACATCTCTTTACAGGTGATTAAGCAGACTGAAGATGTTTTATCGTTATCTCCCTTTTATCTCCTCTTTCTTTTTTTTGTTTTTCCTTTCCTGTTCTACTTACATTGCAGTGTCCATAAAATCTGTAATACTCCCTGCATGTATTATAATAACGCTATTTGTATGCATAAATCAAGCGGAACACTATGGCGATAGCCGTACTGCTCCACTTGTGAAAGCAAAAGCAATTGGGCTCATTTTTGGGATCAGAAAAAACCTGACTCCGCCAGATGGATTTGCTCCGCATATCCATCTGGAAACCTTCCGTAGAAGTAATTTTGGGAAGGGGCGAAAATACTGGTTAGCTGATTGGCCTATGTTGGTGATAGACGGGCCAAATAAACCAATCAGATCAACGAAGCACATGACGTACTAACAGAGCGACGACAAAGAGGAGCCAATTGATAGATCAAACTCTTGCCGAAAGCAGTCGGGAGAAGAGCTAAAACATCTTTTCCTCTGAGAAAAGCCTCCAGAGCAGTGTTTTGCTCTTCTTTCAGTGAAGAAATACTCTTTAATTCCGATAAAACTTGCTCGATAGCCACGCTAACGCTAGTTTCATCGGCTGAAGCAGCCATGTTCTTTAGACTGAACTGTCGCGCTTCTCGTTGCGTCACACCTCAACCCGCTTCAAAGCCAACACTGATTGGACGTTCGTTTGGTGAACGGCTCCAAATTTTTTTTAACGGAGAGTCTCCAGTCTGATCTGCGAGTGAAACCATGAAAGCTCGCGAGATCAGGATGGTCTCACGAGGCTAAGACAGGACACTATTAAAACAAAAATAGAGCAGGTTCTTTTCAGGATTTTTTCTCTGAAGGTCCACGTTGTTGAATAGTTTAGGAATAAACTGGAGGCAGATTATTCTCAGCCACCGGAACCCAATGATTGACGCAGTGTGGGTTTCTCGCTGAGATCTAATGGACATTTATTTGTTGTCATCAAACTGCCATCAGAGGTAAGTTGCTTTGCTAAACTGCAGGTTTGGTCTCTGTTTCTCTTGGTCTTGTCTTCGCTTTCAATCAAATGTCAACGGAGTCTGACAGGAATCAGGTTTTGGGCTGAAATGGGAGAGCAGGTAATTTAAGATGTTTACTCTGAGTCCTACGCTCCCCTTCCCACACTGTGACCAGACCTATAAAAACAGAAATCCTCAGGCTGTCATTGCCCTTTCCAGGCATGCTAATTTATTACTTTTTGTTTCAATGTGTAGATGGCTCTATAAAGTTTGGATTATAAAAAATAATTGAATTGTTTATTCATAGCATGAGATTAATGCTGACATTATGGGCTGTATTACAGATGTCTTGGTGGGGGGGGGGTAGGTGTACAGCAACTGCCTTCTTCAATCTGATCTGAATAAGATAAAGATTGAAGAATATAGATAGAAGTAGTATAGAAGTTATATAATCCTAAATTGTCAATGTAATGACAATTTAGAATCATGGACAAAAACAGATTCTTGATTCTGTAATCAAACTGGCCAATTTTAGGTTTTGAATGTAACTTATTGGCCTTCAATTATAGTGAGAAACGAAGTTTTCAACCGCTTTATTATTGTTTCATTATTTTGTTTATAAATAAAAAAACAACTTTTTTTGCATCGTCTGATTTCTTTGTAAAAGACCTGATGAGAAAGAAGTTTTTTTTTTTCATACAGTCCCTTTTGCCTATAATCTAAACATTACATAAACTTTAAGAAATGTTTAAAGTATATATATATATAAAAAAAAAAGTTATTTTAAATTAAGGTGAGCTTTAGATGTTCAGTTTATATCTTTTTAAGTTGTTGTTTCAATTTCCCCATGATTTTAGTTGCATCTGTTCACATGAGGACTATTACAGCATGCAGATTGTTTCCAGAACTTTTCTTTGTCTTGCTAAAACGAGCCAGACCGTCCCTTAAAGTGACATGGTCATGTATTTTATTTTATTTTGATTTTTTTTCTGCACCAGTTATGACAAATTGTGGCGTCCTGCTGGCGTACTATTCGATAGTTTGTCTTTTAAGCTTTGTTTTTGCTTAATTTGTTAGTAAATGCTTACCTGGCAAGATAAATTTTCGAGAGATTTGATGGGTTAGCATCGAATGCAAAAAGGTTTAGAGCCAATGAAATGCAGCGACGCGTATGATGTCGATCAGAAGCGGCAGGCTGAATACAAAACAAGGCTACGCCAACTGCCCTCTATTTCTTTTTTCAAAAAGGAAGGCAAGAAACCAAAAGATGGTATTTGTGCTTTTGTGGATGGGAAAAATGTTTGCGTTTTCCTCCATTAATTCAATTCATAGAGGGGGCTAGAGAGTCTGGACTGTCAGGATCAAGAGCTGAATTGTCAGAACCCAGACCTGCACTGTCTGACCCGTCATTGCAGACCTGCAAAATGCGGTCTCTAGCACTGTCAGGACCAGAAGTTTATTCCGGAAGTTGTTTTCCAGCCTTTCGGAATAGCAAGCGGTATGTGTTTTCTGCCAGATTAGAGTTTGTGACAGTGTTAAACTGAGCATAGGAGCTGTTTAAATTATATAGTAAGCAAAAATCCTCATAGGAAAGCCAACCTCCATTGTCGTTTAGACCAAATATATAGACCAAATGTCCTTTTCCATCCAGTGATCCAAATACAGAGACATAGCACATATCTATTATTTCAGATAGGAGTTTGGTGGGGAGTAAAATTATGCGTTTTCATAAGTTTCCAGCATAACAACACTTGTTTGTGAAAGGAAGCTAGCTTCATGGGGAGTTTATCGATGCAAGCTTTTACTATAGAAAGGCTTCGAATCAACTTCGCTTTTACTTTGAAAGTCTCTAAATAAACTTCTGGTTCTAACAGCGCAGGAGACCTGACAGTGCAGCTGTGGTCCTGACAGTGCAGCCCTGGTTCCTGACAGTGCAGCTCTGGTTCCTGACAGTGCAGCTCTGGATCCTGACAGTGCAGCTCTGGGCCCTGACAGTGCAGCTCTGGGCCCTGACAGTGCAGCTCTGGGCCCTGACAGTGCATCTCTGGGCCCTGACAGTGCAGCTCTGGGCCCTGACAGTGCAGCTCTGGGCCCTGACAGTGCAGCTCTGGGCCCTGACAGTGCAGCTCTGCAGCTCTGAGTCCTCCTGGCAGTGCAGCTCTGAGTCCTCCTGGCAGTGCAGCTCTGAGTCCTCCTGGCAGTGCAGCTCTGAATCCTCCTGACAGTGCAGCTCTGAGTCCTCCTTACAGTGCAGCTCTGGATCCTCTTGAGAGTGTAGCTTTAGATCCTCTTGACAGTCTAGCTCTGGGTGCTCCTGACAGTGCAGCTTTGGGTGCTCCTGACAGTGCAGCTCTGGATCCTCCTGACATTGCAGCTCTGGATCCTCCTGACATTGCAGCTCTGGATCCTCCTGACAGTGCAGCTCTGGGCCCTGACAGTGCAGCTCTGGATCCTCCTGACAGTGCAGCTCTGGGCCCTGACAGTGCAGCTCTGGGCCCTGACAGTGCAGCTCTGGGCCCTGACAGTGCAGCTCTGGGCCCTGACAGTGCAGCTCTGGGCCCTGACAGTGCAGCTCTGGGCCCTGACAGTGCAGCTCTGCAGCTCTGAGTCCTCCTGGCAGTGCAGCTCTGAGTCCTCCTGGCAGTGCAGCTCTGAGTCCTTCTGACAGTGCAGCTCTGAGTCCTCCTTACAGTGCAGCTCTGAGTCCTCCTTACAGTGCAGCTCTGGATCCTCTTGACAGTGTAGCTTTAGATCCTCTTGACAGTCTAGCTCTGGGTGCTCCTGACAGTGCAGCTTTGGGTGCTCCTGACAGTGCAGCTCTGGATCCTCCTGACAGTGCAGCTCTGGATCCTCCTGACAGTGCAGCTCTGGATCCTCCTGACAGTGCAGCTCTGGGCCCTGACAGTGCAGCTCTGGATCCTCCTGACAGTGCAGCTCTGGGCCCTGACAGTGCAGCTCTGGGCCCTGACAGTGCAGCTCTGGGCCCTGACAGTGCAGCTCTGGGCCCTGACAGTGCAGCTCTGGGCCCTGACAGTGCAGCTCTGGGCCCTGACAGTACAGCTCTGGGCCCTGACAGTGCAGCTCTGGGCCCTGACAGTGCAGCTCTGGGCCCTGACAGTGCAGCTCTGGGCCCTGACAGTGCAGCTCTGGGCCCTGACAGTGCAGCTCTGGGCCCTGACAGTGCAGCTCTGCAGCTCTGAATCATCCTGGCAGTGCAGCTCTGAGTCCTCCTGACAGTGCAGCTCTGAGTCCTCCTTACAGTGCAGCTCTGGATCCTCCTGACAGTGTAGCTTTAGATCCCCCTGACAGTCTAGCTCTGGGTGCTCCTGACAGTGCAGCTTTGGGTGCTCCTGACAGTGCAGCTCTGGATCCTCCTGACATTGCAGCTCTGGATCCTCCTGACAGTGCAGCTCTGGGTGCTCCTGACAGTGCAGCTCTAGGTCCTCCTGACAGTGCAGCTCTGGGCCCTGACAGTGCAGCTCTGGATCCTCCTGACAGTGCAGCTCTGGGTGCTCCTGACAGTGCAGCTCTAGGTCCTCCTGACATTGCAGCTCTAGATCCTGGCAGTGCAGGTCTAGGTAATTTTTCCAAATACAGTGCAGCTGACAGTGCAGCTGACAGTGCAGCTCTGGTTGCTCCTGACAGTGCAGCTCTGGGTCCTCCTGACATTGCAGCTCTGGGTCCTCCTGACATTGCAGCTCTGGGTCCTCCTAACATTGCAGCTCTAGATCCTGACAGTGAAGGTCTGGGTCATTTTTCCAAATAAAACAAAAAAATCGCCATTAGACCCAGCTGTACTTCACACTATGCAGAGAGAGGGCCGCTGCAGACGGGCTAAAATTATCATTGGCAGCGGTTAGCCAGGGTCCTCTCAACATTGGAACTTTATTTTAAAATTACGCATTAAATCGGTAAACGGGCCATATAGTGACACTTAAACGTATAATGTTCTCGCCGCAAATTATCTTAAAACAAACTTTTATAGAACAACAGCAACAGAAAAGAGAACTTTTAACTTAATACTCTGAGCTCGGTGAGCGCTAACCTGGAAGCTGCTGCTGCCACAGTGCATGCTGGGACAGCTATCAGTCCAGAGAATGGAAAATTCTGCTCTGATGCATGCTGGATAATGAGGAAGGTGCGAGAACAACATCCGGGAACTTCTTCCGTTCTCGGTCTTGTGTTCTTGTGAATTGGAACAGTACTAGGGCTGAGCCTGATGATGTTTCACGAGCACGTTAGATCGCACAACTGTTTTTTTTCTCTCATCATATTTACATGTTATTAAAATGAGGTACTATGATTCACAAGTTTCATTTTGTTTGCAAAGCTTGGTGGTATTTTTAAATTTCCACATAAAACTACATGAGAAGAAGACAGAAATAATGCCAGAACCCTTAATTTCTGGAACATGTCATTGCTTTTCTTTCACTCTTTACTCATTTGCATGCTAAAGGCATGCCTGTTCTGTACGAGTTGTCTGTGGACGAGATGAAAGGAGATTATAAAGGGTTGCTGCTAATTCACAGTGGACAAAGAAGTTCTAGACTGAATCTGAACGGTCGGTGGTGCACAGGCAGAAGTGGAACAATGCATAATTCATCAGGAAACAGATTCATCTCTCATCTCGGTCGACGTTCGTCTGCTTCATTGAAAGCAAGTTGGCGAGCACGCCGGCGTAATGTGCACTGTTATTTCCCCAGACGTGAACAAAACATGCTGTTGTCGACAATCACTTTTGACGATTGAACCTGTTTTGCGACTGATGTAAGTGGGCGAGTCTAGTTGTTGGCAGAAACTCAATTTTCCAGCTCCAAATGTCATCTTGAGCACCCATTCTCCATACCTACAGTCTCTTTCAATCTCCCTCCTCCTGCGCGCTTGATGGAGGTACCTCATTGATCTGTTCTATTCTCGTCCTCAGCTTTGAAAGCAAACCCTGACATGAAAGCTTGACATTCTGCGTTCGTGGACTCTTTCATGGCCGTCTAAATGCATTAAGGGCCGTCGTTGTTGTAATTAATAAAAAACATTGATAGTTTTACCATCATGAAATCTTATTTAATTCCCTACTGGTTAACTGACCTGACCAGGGCTTCTCCACTTCATGTTCAAAGGTCCAAAATGAACTCGGCTGTTTTCTGACTCGGGTCAAATGTCTGAAACGACTAGTGATGAGAAAATATATTGAGTACAACTTCAAAGATCCTTATTTCAACTTGTTTGTTGTGGAACCTAAGCTGTTTTATTAACTGACACTAAGGTGTAATTAGGATCTTCTTTTCACAACATAATAATCGAATTTATCTTGTTTATAGCAGTAAGAATTGTTTATGGTTTCATGATTCAATCATGATTTGGGGCTAGAGTTAAATTCAGTAGATTTTTCTTTTTTATTTATTCATTAATTTTTTTTTTATTGTGTGGCGAGAATGTTGGCAGCTTTATCAGTTAAAATCATCCCATTCTCTCATTCTTCAGTGACAGAATGAATTTTGGTTTTGCAATTTAGGTGTTATCTATAGAGCTGGCTGTGAAAGTCAGGAGTTAGGACTGCAACTACACTGCAAAAAATGTAAATCTAAATAAGTCATTTTTTCTTAAAATAAGTGCATTTTATCCTGATTTGAGGAGATAAATGAGACACTTTGCCAATGGAACAAGACCATTTACATTTCAAAAAAAAAAAATCAATTGCATTGTCTTATTTCAAGTGCATATTATCTAATTAACTTATTATAAGTGTAAAAATACTCATCCCATTGGCAAACTATCTTATTTACCTGCTCAAATTAAGGGTAAATACACTTGATTTAAGAAATTTTTACTTTATTTCAGATTGTTTTTGCAGTGTAACGGCTATTTTGTTAATTGATTCATCCATCAAATATTTTTTCTATTAATAATCGGATAGGAAAGGGTTCCTTAAAGACGATATTTTACAGAATTAAACCAGGTGAAACTTAAACTTTCCACTTGAGGAGTTCTGTATAGAGCATAACGACAGACAAAAATGTTTTTTTTTTTTTATCTTAAATGCAAAATATTTATACTTTTTTTTTTTTGCAATTTTAGTATAGCCACAACTGTAAGTGGGTTGCTCTGTCAGCTAAAGGCATGTTTTAGAGATTAGATAAAGTAAATTTTAGAATTGTTTCAAGAATAAAATAATCGTGATTAATCCGATTAATTGTTTCAGCCCTGGTAAAAATACAGGATTATCATGGACTACCTCAGTTTCAGATCAACCCCTTCACAACACTTTCTTACTGCTTTGGTGATGATTTACATATTCTAATAATATGTAAAAAGAATTATTACTGTTATTTATATGAATATAACTTTCAAAAATGTTATTTCTTGAATGGAATTATAAAAATAGCACAGATTAGTCTGAGTATCTATAATATGTCTTGGTGAGGGAGCTGAGCTCATGATACGATCAAATTGTTGATAGATTCAGTACATTTTTTGTAACTCTAGGACCTGAGTTATCTAAAAATATTGCAGCAAAATAGATCAAAATCCTAGGTTTGGGTTTCTCCATCCTTTAGCTAGGGATGCACGATATAATTGGCCCCCTATCGGTATCGGCCTGTATCGGCCTTAAAAATGAATATCGGACATCGGCCACCCCACCGATATTTAACCCGATATTTGATCAGCTTCTGAGTTTCTAAAGTCTAAAAAAATAAAATAAAAAAAATACTACTTCTTCTTCTTCCTCAAAAACTTCTTTTTTACAGACTTAAAAACTTCAATATCTTCATATGCTGATATATTGCCATTTAAAAACACCATATCAATCTCTTTTACTAATGAAATATTGCTATATGTCATCGTTATGCTACGAAAACCCCCGAAAATTTACGAAATTTTGCCATATTTTTATATGTTGATATACTGACGCGGTATCGATCTATTTTACTAACAAAATCTCACAAGAATTTGCAAAATGTAACGAGAGTTTGTAACGGAACGATGAAATTTCATGAGATTTTGAAAGTAAAATAGATCGATACCACGTTTTTAAAAATCAATTTGATATCAGCGTATGAAAATATATTTGAGTATATTATTTTTCAAAGTGTCAGAAATGGATAACAAAACTGCTATTTTCAATGACTACTTATTTTTGTCCAGCTTTAACATCGGTATCGATATCGGTTATCGGCTGCATGAGTTTTAAAATATCGGCATATCGGATATCGGACAAAATCCCAATATCGTGCATCCCTACCTTTAGCACAAAAATGATTACTTGATGTTCTTCAAAAATGTAAAAGCAAAAGGTCCTCTGACTAACAGGGAATTGAAATGGAATTAGTGAAGCAGATAGTTGAAGGGATTCAGCACCGTGTTGTAATTCTTCCATGATTTATTTTGGACATGATGAAAATAGTTAAAATAATTCCTTTATATAAACTGGGAACAAAAATCACCTCACTGATTACAAACCAGTATTTTTGCTTATTATTATACTCAATGTCAAATTCATTCGTTTTTTGCTGTAAATTTATTTATTTTTTTTCAGTTTAACTGTTCTGTCTTCTTTCTATGGAAGCAAATCGTTACCATATTTCAATTGAAAAAGCATTTTCAGAAATGCTTTTTCATTTTAAGAATGTGGCTGCATTGTTTGACTCATAAATGAAATTAGTAATCAATAATCCTATTTGCATTTTAATTTTCTTCTTCAAGACTGCTCATCCTTTTACTTCATTAAAATGAAAAAGAAAAAGACATTTGAGATTTATTTTTCAAAATGTACCCTAACGAATACATACCAAAATTCAATTTGAAATGAAAATGTTTTCTCTTTGATTATGGCATAAAATGTGCAGTCTTAAAGAAGAAAATGCAAATGCAGATCGGATGATTGATTACTAATTTCATTCATGAGTCAAATAATGCAGCCACATTCTTAAATTGGAAAAGCATTTCCAGAAATGCTTTTTCTTTTTCAAATTTTACATTTCAAATTGAATTTTGGTATGAATTTGAAAAATAAATCTCATTTTTTTTTTTTTCATTTTAATGAAGTAAAAGGATGAGCAGTCTTGAAGAAGAAAATTAAAATGCAATTAGGATGATTGATTACTAATAGGGCTACAACAACGAATCGATAAAATCGATAAAAATCGATTTTTAAAAGCGTTGGCAACGAATTTTATCATCGATTAGTTGTGTTGCGCGATTAATGCGTCATCCGCGGCCGCCGTCATCACATCCACTTGACTGAAGCGGGGGAAGAAGAAAAAATATGGCAGAGCGAGTCAGCGCCGCAGGTGCAGTGTTGCCAACTCAGCGACTTTTCAGACCCCTCCAGCGACTATTTTTCAAAAAAGCGACTAGCGACAAATCTGGCGAAGTTTTACGGTGTCACTGGCGGCTTTTGGAGACTCTTCCGTGAAAGCATGCATCGTTCCTACTCTGCCGTGGGGCGCCTCCCCCATCCCAACTCGATTCTCCCTCCTCCCGCAGGAGTCCCTCTCAGCGCTGCAGTCAGAGCCTCAGCGTCCAGACTGCAAATGAAGCGCGCATGCACCGGGATTGACGGCGCAAATTGATCACAATAATTAAAATAGCCTGCGCTTTGTAAAGTGAAAAAAGTCGTAACATGCAACTTTTGTCAAAACAAATGAACATGGCACGGAACCACCATGTTTGTTTTGTTTTAAAGTGGGGAAACGTAACGTTAGTTTCTCAGGTAGCTCATCTCATGCTTTCCTTACCGTGTTAGTAGGTTACAGACAGTGATAAGGTTGGCTACTTATTTAACTTTTAATTTCATTTGAATTAGTTTAAGCAGCGTTTATATTTTCTTTATAAATAAATTAACTTGCAAATTATGAGGGCAAGGCTTTTAAAGTTTAAATCTTCTGGCAAAGATAAAGTAAAGAAGATCCTGCAATTTATGGAAGTAAAGCAGAATAAAATCCAGCAAGATCAGTAATATGTCAATTAATTATCTGCCACATTCCCATGTAAATATCTGTCTTTGGAGGATGTGTTTTTTAGCACCCCTAGTTCTCTTTTTTTCATTTTTCTCATTTTTATTCCAAATACAATGTATAATTTGAATCACAGGGCTATTTTTATCTCTATGGTTCAGTATTTTCTCAAGTAGCAACTTTAACTGCTATACTTTCCTGTCTTAAAAGGCAGAACTCTTCTAGTCTAAAAAAAACTAATTTGTTGAAATGGGGGGGCCTATTGTTTGAACCCCTTAGGGGCTTTTAAAAACAAAAATGTCTTTTTTTGTGCTTTATGAAACAAAGTAGCCTATATTTTGTGGATGTACAGCTACATTTCTCATGTAAGTTTGCGTAGTTTTAACACAAACATTTATTTTTCATATTGCACCAGTACAGTTAATGAGCAACCTGTACTTGTGTGATTGTTTGTTCTGACTAAAATGTTTATTTTGGAATAAAGAGGTTAATATAAAAAATATTTTTTGTCCGATTCATCGATTAATCGAAAAAATAATCGGCCGATTCATGGATTTTTTAAATAATCGTTAGTTGCAGCCCTAATTACTAATTTTATTTATGAGTCAAGTAAAGCAGCCACATTCTTAAAATGAAAAGCATTTCTAAAAATGCTTTTCCATTGGAAATATGGTAACAATTTGCTTCCATATCTTTCATGACAATTCTCTTTTTATGTTTTTAAAAGCATTCCAGAACCACTCTCATTAGCCACTGTGTCAAAAGTACAGTAAGTTTATGGCAGGAGACACAAGTTACATCACCAAACATGCTATTTTACTGCTAAATAAAGATAAAGCATAACTCAACAATTTATCCAAAATACTTTTATAAATTCATAATAATCTGATATTATTAGAGGTCATAGCACCCCCCCTTTAAAGTACGCCCTTGGACGCCTACGTCTGGACTGATTTAGCGTGTTTAGAAAGAGATTTTATTGGCCTTAAACATCCTTACTGAAGGAAACAGCTCTGAAAGGAACATGCAGAAGCATTTTATGAAATACTTCCCCGCTGGATTAAATTAATTCATTAGTGCACAGCTTCAAATATTTGCTCCAATTTTTAATTACAGTATTATCCAAAACAACAACAGTGTTTTTTTCGCACCAGC